TACGGAAACTTGTTCGGTCACGACCAGATTAGGAGGGGCGTTCTTGAGAAGATGCCACCGCCTGAAATCCGCGAAGAGTCACGAGTTCTGGGCGAAGCGACCAAGAAGCGACAGTCGAAGATTGCGAAGAAGAAGCCTGCGCAAGCAGCGACAGAAGACTTGTTACTGGACCTCATGGGCGACGCAGGCCCGTCGACCAGCATGAATGGGGTGGCCAATGGAACTCAACAGAGCCAGGACTTGCTTGCAGACATCATGGGCGGGTCTTCATCACCACCCCAGACATCCTCCCCTGCACCACAATCAAACGTGGCCAACATCATGGACCTGTTCAACTCTGGAGCCAGCAGCTCTCCAGCCCCAGCGCAGTCTCAGGCCCCGCCAGCAGGTAACTCCATGGATCTTCTGGGCGGGCTCGGCGGTATGTCCTCGCCACCACCACAAGCTTCAGCACCGTCGGTAGCCTCGGGCCCACCCGCGCATCCAGCATACAACAAGAACGACCTACAGATCACCTTCCAGCTCAAGCGTGATGCAAACGCCGTGCAACTTCTCGCACGTTTCCGCAATACCGGAAGCTTTGGCCAGCTGTCAGGTGTGAATCTACAAGCCGCTGTACCAAAGAGCCAAAAGCTGCAGCTGCAACCTATCAGTACCAGTGAACTGGAGGGAGGCCAAGACGCGACCCAGCAAATGAGGGTCACAGCTGTCAATGGGGTAAGTCATTCTCAGATACGTTTTGTATGTATACCGTGCTAACAGACCTAGCCTCCACCCGCAAGGCTAAAGCTCCGACTCAAAATCAGTTACTCGGCAGGTGGTGCTCCAGTGACAGAGCAGGTTGACTGGGCAGAGCCGACATGATCGCAAAACACACTTTTGGTAGTAAAATCTTCAAGTAGCGAGCAGTATAGAGCAAATGACATACCCGAGCGATGATGAAATGCACGATGGATTAGATCCAGCGCAAGACTTTCGTGCGCGCATCTTTGGCGCATACATCAAGTGCTGAGAGTAAAGCGGGTTCTTTAGTATTAGTGTATCCTCGAACTGATCGCAAGATTGCTTCGGGGGACGCCTAATCTTCATGTTTGAAATGCAGAAGCCGCCTTCTGCACCTGTCGCAATAACCCGACAGAGGTGGAAATAAGATGCGGGATTAGCGCCTCAAGCCATCCGCGCCCGCTTTTCCGGTAGATCCCCCCGCCGTTGCCAGGAACACGACTTGTTGGGTCGCTTCTCTCTTCTGTACAACTGTTTCTCCACTGCACCAACCATTCCAAAGCGGGACTTCTGCCCATCCAAGAACGATATGTGTCGAGAAAACATCATCGTGTCACATATCGCAACGACGGCAGCAGGTGATGCACGACCAGGGATTAACACAGATTCTGGGATCGACATGATAGCACGCACCAGCGCCTGCATACTATAAACCTTGCCAGCCACTCACTTTTGTCACTACAGCGGTCACCCTGTCTCGTCATGCGCCCCAAGAAGTTCGGTTCGCATTAGCACGAGGGGATCGCGGGTACCCAGCCTCACAATGCCTGCTGCCAGTATCTGTTTATGCCCGCATAGAGCTACTACCTTCCTTATTCAGCGTTACATGGGACGTTATAATGGTGTCCCGATATTCCCGAAGTCTTGGATCTGGCTGCACAACTTGCAGTAGAGAGGGAACGTGATGCAATTGCCAATAGACGAGTCTTGGTCATTCTCCACTATGGACAGGTGCTTAACCTCCCAGATCTGCTTCTATTACTTGGACACAGCCTTCTGTCTTTTGTTTCAACGTTCGTCTTCATTGGAGACGGTGAAGATATCCATATCTGAACTTTGTTGGTCTCTCATTAAACTGAGTAGCAACCGGCCCGAACGGTATCCCTGACATTCAACATATTTATACAAGAGACTTTGGGGACCACAAGCGTCTGTGAAAGATCACACGCTTGAACGCAATGCATATCACGTCTCTCACGCTCGGAAGTGGCTTTTTGTCGCTAGTGTTGGCTCTACCATCGAACACACCGGTAGACCTACCGAGGAGGCAGTATGAGACCACCCCACCATCATACGATCCTGTGTCGCCTGATCAGAGAGCACAAGCAGTGATAGACACTTTCAGAATAAGCTGGGATGGATACCGCCAGTATGCATTCCCGATGGATGAGCTGAGGCCTGTGAGCAACAACGGAAGTAATTCGAGGTACATACCCAATGTCTGTGTTTTAAGGAAGTCTTGCTAACATGGTCTCAGGAACGGATGGGGTGCTTCTGCCGTAGACGCGCTCAGCACAGCACTCATCATGGGCCAGAAAGACATCGTGAACGAAATCATAGAATATATCCCCAGCATTAACTTCGCGTATACTGAGGATCCCGTCTCTCTATTCGAGACCACGATCCGCTACCTTGGCGGCATGCTGTCCGGCTATGACTTACTCTCTGGTCCTTTGGCGCACCTCGCAGATGATCCAGCAAATGTAGAAGCCCTTCTCACGCAATCCGTCAATCTGGCCAACAACCTCTCCTACGCGTTCGAGACACCCACAGGAATACCCTGGAACATCCTTACCTTCAACAACCGAAGCAACGTCGATCAAGAGAACGGGCTCGCAACTGTCGGCACACTGATCCTCGAATGGGTCCGCCTCGCCGATCTCACTGGCAACCAAACATATGCGGATCTGGCCGAAAAGGCAGAACAATACCTTCTCTTCCCATCTCCCGACTTCGCCGAACCGTTCCCTGGACTCCTGGGCATGGGAATCAACGTAACGACAGGGCAATTCAACGACGCAGTCGGAGGCTGGGTAGGCGGCGCCGACTCCTTCTACGAGTACCTGATCAAGATGTACATCTACGACCCACGCTACAGCTTCCTCAAGGAACGCTGGATCAAAGCCGTAGACAGTTCCATTGCGAATCTAGCCTCGCACCCAGCCCCCCGACCAGACATAACCTTCCTCGCAGCCTTTGAAAACACCACACTCGACCTAGAATCCCAGCATCTCGCCTGTTTCGACGGCGGAAACTTCATCCTAGGCGGCCAAGTCCTCGACCGACAAGACTACATCGACTTTGGTCTCGAACTCGTCAACGGTTGCCATGAGACGTACATTCAAACCGCAACACGCATCGGACCTGAAGTCTTCTCCTGGAACACCTCCGCTGTGCCAGCGAACCAAACTTCCTTCTTTAACCAAACTGGTTTCTGGATCGAAAACGCGGGTTACCAACTCCGTCCTGAGGTCATAGAATCTTACTATTACGCCTACCGCGCGACTTCGGATTCAAAGTACCAGGACTGGGCGTGGGATGCTTTCGTTGCTATTAATGCGACGACGCGGGTTGGCAGTGGGTATAGTTCTATCGAGGACGTGAATGTGGTTGGGGGAGGTAATTTTACGGATTTCCAGGAGAGCTTCTGGTTCGCCGAGGTGTTGAAGTACAGCTATGCGATTCAGGCTGGTGAGGCGGAGTGGCAGGTTGGCAAAGATGGGGTTAATGAGTGGGTTTACAATACTGAAGCGCATCCGGTCAAGGTCTATGGGGGTGGGAATGCGACGAGGGGGTTGTAGGAGGATGGGTCTTGAAGTACGTGAAGATTCTGTAGTAATCGAGTTTTGCTGCAGAACAATCTTATTGGCGACTGGACGCCGGGTATATGATGCAGATGAACGGATTTCCGTGCCGTGAAACTACTCGAAGAAACCACCGTCGCTCTCCTCCGCCTCTTCTTGGGCCTGCACGCCGAGTGCTCTCCTCTCGCGACGGTTCTTGGCTGCCGCCAACTTCTCTTCCACCTTCTTCTCTTTGACCTTGACTGCTTGTTGCACTTGCGGCTGTGCCTTCTTTTTCGGTTCTTTCTTGGGCACAGCAGCGGGCATGCCCTCCTTGCTATTCCTAAGCGCATCCAATGTGCCTGCTGTCATCGCCTCCTCCACGGCTTTCCACATATCCAAGTCGCCTTTTGGCCCGTCGACCTCGCGGTTCGCTTTGTCATCGGTATCCTCCTCAGTTGCTTCGTCGGAATCTGAGGCCTTGTCCTTCTTCGACTTTGGGTATAGAGACGCGTAGGGCTTCATGAGCGGGTAATAGATGGCGTAGTTGACATCGACTTGAGCGTTGTGCACCTTTCGCGCTAGGCCTTGCTTCTTCGCCTCGTCTTCCTCGGCCTCGTGTTCTTTCTTCAGCTTCTTCAGTATCCGTGTGCCCTTCTGACGATCTGAGGCGCGTTAGCAATCGCTTCGTGTTGACCCCCATGCGCCCTGCGCAATCCATAACATACCGAAGAATCTAATGTGATGATACTTTCCAATCATCTTCTTCCTGTATTCGGCCTCTCTGCTGCTCTCCAGCTTCTCTTGCAGTTCGTGCTGACAGGCTTCGAGCTCTCTCTCCCTCTCCACCCTGTTGCCCGCTGACATCTTGTGGTCGCCTACATTGTCGACGTGCGCAAGCAGTCGCTTCAGGTCTCGTATACGGCTCTTGAGCGCGTTGGTGCTGGTGCTCTTGTCGATGTCGCTCGAGACGTGCGGCCGCTTCTTCGACTTGGGATGGCTCTGGCCGGGCTTGAAGGTGCGGTGCTTCTTGAATGGTTTGGGGGCAGAGGACGACGACTCGGTCGCTTCGGCATGCTTGCGCTTTTGCGACATGGTGGCTGGCTGAGATTTGGGATTTGAGAGTTGTTGGCTGACTGCGGAAATCTTGGGATCGAACGAAGGGAAGTTTTAGTGGGGCGGCAGAATTAAGGTTGCTAGACCGCCCGATGCGCGCCAAGTGAGATCACGCGTCTGGCGTTCACCCACCTGCAGGCTCCCGATATCTTCCACTTGCACGGTAACTTAGCAAAGTCGAGTGTACTGCAATATGCACACGACATCATTTGCTACGGGTTCTTTCAGACTATTTCTTACTAATTCATGAGGCTTCTTTACTCCGCTTTCGGACCTTGAACTTCCATCATCGCGGGATCGCGATAGTCAGCCAGTGAGATGGAAGCTGCAATAAGATGGTCGCCGCACTCGACACGAGACAACCCTCGCTTCTTGATCATCGATGTCGCGGGTAATAGGCTACGTCTGTGTCAAATCGAAGAGTTCAGTAAGAGCAAGGTCAACTATAAGCAGATATGCATCCGAGATAAGCTGCCAAACTACACGGCCTTCGACTGGTCCAAGAAGGATCCGAGCGTGGTTGCTGTGGGTTCTGCTTCTGGAGAGGCTACCATCGTTACATTGGATCCGGACAAGCCCGATCACGACTACATCCACTCGTTTTCGATACGACACCAGAGGAAATGCAACTCTATCGCTTTCAGCGCTAAGAATCTACTTGCTACGGGGCTGGATAGAGTCAGGAATGATGTCTGTCTCAACATCTACGATATGAACGACTCGCGAGTCACAGCCAAGGATGAACCGTACAAGAAGCTGGCGAGCTCAGAAGCCATCTCTAGCATCAAGTTCTTCAACGGACAGCCTGACATGCTCGTCGCGGGTGTCTCCAGGCAATACGTGCGCATTTACGATCTCAGAGGTGGGTCATACATAAAGCAGTGAATATCCCCTGCTCATTCTCTATAGACTCTAGCACGGCGGGCATTGCGCAATTTCAAACACGCCAGGTGCACAACATCTCCATAGACCCGTTGGACGAAAACTACTTTCTATCAGCGGGGACGGCAGGAGACCCAACTGTGACTGTTTGGGACACACGCTTCGTCAAGCAACGAGTAGCGTCCAGCGATAGTGCGGGAGGAGGCGCCGTCCTGGAGTTCAAGCCAGTCGTGGACAATTCACAGTCGGCTTCTATATGGAGTCTTCGGTACTCTGGTACCAAGCGAGGAACATTCGGAGTACTTGCGAATACTGGAGAATTCAAAATCATCGAATTAGCACAGCACTCTCATCAGCCTTCCGAGACAGCAGATACACCTTTCGCTCGAGCATGGGCGTCTCCATACTACACCAAAGCCACACATCATCTACGCTATGCCTCACACGACAAACTCCATCGGCACGATGAGAAAGAGCGCGTCGTGGCATACGACTTTATGACTACTGGAAACCCGCTCGGTGGACAATGTGCTTTGGCTCTACATTCAAATCGAGAAGTCGAAGTTCTCAGAGTACCACCAATACCACCTCGTATCAACATCAGCGCGCTGGAAGAGATATACAAAGATCGCACCTGCATCGCTAGGCCGACTTCGCCATATGGTACGGTAGCAGAGGATCTAATCCAGGTACAAAACAGAGCACTAGGCGACAAGTACGATATCGAACATGATCACAAACCCAACCTCTCCGCCAGCATCGATAGACTCAGCCTCAGCAACAGCCAACGAAGCCTACCTCTTTTGTCGACAGAACACCCCAGCCATCACATGCATGAGGACCTTCTCGAACTTGCGTTCCCTGAGTTCAAGATTCCCCTCTCTGATTATTTAGCCGTCCTCCAAGCACCCAAACGACGTGTCCAGGAAGGCTATTCCCTCGATTGTGCTAAGAATAAGGCTATTGTTCATAACGATCCCTGGCTGGTCGATGTGTGGACACTGATCGATCGCATGGATGCACATGCCGCAGGGGATGGCATGGTGGGCAACGGTCTCGATCTCAAATATCTGGGAGTCAGCTCAATATGGGCAAACGAACTGACGATGTACGATGAACGACTCATTGACCCGGATACAAAAACAAGCCAAGAGATGTTCAGCGATGCAGTTAAAGAGATAGTCGAAGCCATGGAATTCCCCATTTTCGAAGGCGTGAACACAGAATATCCAGAGAACAGGCAATTATGTCTCAGTCTCTGCGGCTGGCCCCTCGAGAAAGCCGGCGTAGAGCAAAACTGTCAACGGCTTATAGATGAAGGCGAGATATACAAAGCGATCGTTCTCGCCGTCTTCCAGGGACATAAGGACATCGCACTAACCCTCCTCCGAGCCAGTCTCACGAGCAAGAGACTTCCACAAGACGACATCGGCCTCGCAGCCGTCATAGCCTGCGCCTCGCCCTCCTCTGGCGTCTCAGTCGAGCAAAGAGAAGCCTGTTCCTGGATGGCCGACATGACCAGCGACGCCTACCTAAAATCACTCCTCACCTACTTCATCACAGGCGACTGGTTCAGCGTAGTCTCGATGCCGCAACTCACCCTCTCCGACCGCGTAGCCGTCGCCCTCAAATACCTGCCAGACGCCTCCCTAACCACCTTCCTCACCACCACAACAACAACCGCAACAGCCCAAGGCGACATCTCCGCCCTCCTCCTCACAGGCCTAACAACGCGCTCCCTTTCCCTCCTCCAAACGCACATCTCTCACCACCCCACCACCGGCCTACAAAACGCCGTCCTCATCCTCTCCCGCGCCTGCCCCCTCTACATCCAAGACCCGCGCTGGACCCTCTGGAAAGACATGTACCTCGAGCAACAGCAAATCTGGCGCACCTTCCTCGAGCGCACACGCTACGTCAAGGAACACAATCTACTCAGTGTAACGCGCGAGGGCAGGAGTGTGAATAAACCCAGTCAACCGAGCTTGACGCTCAGGTGTCTGAATTGCCAGCAGAATCTTGCGCTGAGGAAAGATCCGAGGAGTAGTACGAAAAGGCTGCTTCCTACTGCGCATCAGGCGGGTGGCATGAATAACGCGCCGTCTACAGCGACGACGACACATCGTGCAACGGCTTCGCTGTCGTTTGGTGGTGGTGCTGGGAAGCCTGCTGCACCATTGCAACAGAAATCCGCGGCTAGCACGCCTGGACTTCATTGTCCGAATTGCGCGGCGCAGATGCCGAGGTGTGCGCTGTGTATGTTGTGGTTGGGCTCGCCTGATCCGAGTAAACAGGGGGCGTACGAGACGCTCAAAGGAGAGGACAAGGAGGGCAGGATGATGGTGTTTTGTATGAATTGTACGCATGGGTTTCATGGTCATCATGCGAGGGATTGGTTTGCTAGACATGCCATGTGTCCTGTGCCGGACTGTGGGTGCATGTGTGGGTTGATGAAGTGAGAAGATTTGTATTTGCATATTCGCTTAGGATTCGCATGCTTTCAGTAACAAGGTAGCACAGTTCAAGATACGGAGTGTACCAAAGTAGTGGGGAGTAAACAGATATAGTTTTAAGAAGCTGTGCGGCCGTCTGTCCGTGATGCTCCTCGTCTGGAGATCTCAAAGTCTTCCCTATACGCGCTATTGTACCAAGAAAAAGCTAAAGAAACGCAAAAAGGGTATAATCGCCACCGAGGTGTGGCCTGTCAAGACCAACTGTTCGTTTCTGTACCCTTACAGAAACGATAATATCCTATAGCGCCGCTAATGATGCCAAAAAGACTGAGACGTCCAAACACCTCTATAAATGCTGAATAAGCGACTGCGAACAGTTAAAATGTGCGATGCAGACACTAAAGAATCAGGAAAACGTTCGACGGCTGTCAAGTTGACCGCCTTCGATGCTCGCGCGATGCGCGAAATTTCCTAATCTTGCCCTGCCATCTCACTGTCGTCATTGCCGAAGTCGTCTTCTTCGTCAATGGCCATTATGTTCGCTTGTGCGGTGACCACGACCATGTTGTCACCATCCTCTTCCTCGTGGTACATGGTGCCGTCGTTGAGGTCGAAAGCGTTGTCCTCGTTGTCAACGTCGTCTCCACCGTTCGTGTTCATGAAGACGCGCAGACGTTGTACGCCAACGCCGCTGAAGACGCAGAACACTTCACGCTGGTGATCGTTGAATTCGGGGGGTGCCTCGCGGCAAAAGGCGAGAAGATCGTCGCGAAGGAAAGCTTGGACGCCAGTAAGAGAGAGGTGGGTCAGGCGGGGGCAGTTGTTGAGGAGCGCATGGATGCCCTGTTCATGTCAGTAACGGCACGGGATTTGTCTTGGGTGGGGCACTTACGGCTAGGGAGAGGTTGGTACAGTAGCTAAGGTGCACCCTCTCGAGCACGCTGGGTGCGATGGGCCCGCTGGAGCCAATCTGCTTCGGTTTGGCGAGTGCGAGTATGCTGCGGTCCGTTATGGCCGCACACTTGACCAGGCCAATGCGTTTGAGCTTGGGTAGAGCGGCGAGCTGCATGACCGAGGCGTCGGTGAGAGCAATGCAACACGCGAGATCAATGTACCGTATGCGGTTGCATAGCTTGACCAGCTGCGCGACACCGACATCTGTGATGTTGGCGCAATGTCCCAGATGTATGTAGTGGAGGTTCTTGCCCAGACGAGTAATGGCCATGACGGCTCTGTCGGTAATGTTGCGACATTTGGCGAGGACAAGGTTGCGCAGTCGCGGAGCTGCGTGGACTATCTTCTGGACGCCAGAATCTTGTAGCTCTTCGCAACCAGTCAGATCTAGGATACGCAGGCAATCGTAGGTAGCCTCGGCTGGGAGACGGAGGAAGGCCTGGTCGGTGATCTTGACGCAGTGGGCTAATCGTAGCTCGCGGAGGTTGGGGCCTTCTGTGATGAGCGTAGTGATGGAGGCATCGTCGAGGTTCTTGCAGTCGTGAAGATCTATCTCGAGGATGTAGCGGCAGTTCCTAGCAAAGGCGATGATGCTCCGGTCGCTGAGTTGCGAGCATCCGTTCAGCTTGAGGCGCTTCAGATGTCTGCAGTTCTTGGCAACTTCCTCGAGCGAATCGTCCGTGATCTTCTTGCAGTTTGTGATGTTGAGGCCCTGCAGGCGGACTGCGTGTTTGGCCAGAGCGAGCATTGACTTGTCGGTGATGGACTCGACGTTGGTGACATCCAGGGCGAGAATGTAGCGGTTCTCCTCGAGCATGGCTTCCAGACTAAAGTCGGACAGTCGTGAGCAGTTGGTGAGCGTTAAGCGCTCAACACGCTTGCAACTTGAAAGCGGTTTCAGCGTCCCGTCGCTGACTTCACCGCCCAGAGCGGACAGATTCAGACGCTTGATCAAACTGCTGTAGTCGAAAAAGCTGTTGACCGTCTGGACCGTCTTTATGACGCTCTTGACGTTCGACCATTTGTTCGTTGAGGGACGATGCCAGAGCAGACCGACGCTGTTCCCAGCCCATGTCTTAGACACGAGCATGCAGTTCTTGAGGTCGGCGGGCGAGGAGAGCTTTGCGAAGACGGCGATCATGAGCTCGGCGGGTAGGCGGGAGACGGGCGAGATGCGGTTCTGCTCTTCGATGGCCCGCCGGCGAGCCTCCTCGTCCGAGTCGGGCGATACTGACGGCGCGAGCGACGAGAGCGAGTCGTTGGACTGCAGCATGATGGAGTCCTTGTCTTCATCGTCGTAGCCGCGCTCGGGCGAGGTCGAGGCGGAAGAGTCGGAGCGCGAGGTGCTGGCGTCTCTCTGGGGCCGTCGTGAGCGCGCCGTGGTGCCTTGTCGGACGCGGGCGAGTCGTGGGTTTTCGGCCATGGTACCGGGCGTCTCAGGAGTCGCGGGGGGTTCGGTTTATATAAACGGGCAGGCGTGATTGCGGTGGGCGTGGAACAGCGTCTAAAGGGCACAATCGGTGTGCTGGTGTACGCGGCGGCTGGCGGGTGTATGGGGCAGCCCGCTTACTCTACAAATACAACAACAACAGTGCGGACTGGAAACGAGAGCGGAGGAGGCGACTATTTTGACGCTCCTAAATAGGCACGGGCGAGGCGACAACACACGACACGACAGTGCGGAGGTAGAGAGGGAAGGGTCAAGTCGTCTGGGCAGTCATGGGTGGGTCGCTGCCCATCGTCGCATCCCGCCAAGGTCCTTCCCTGCAACTCAGCTCGCCGCCCGTCCAAACACGACGTCCTTGTCTGCCTCAGTGCTCTCCCAAACGACGATCCCTCTGTTCCTCCTCCACCGCGCTTACACTGCAGGGTCAACGCTTTGCCATGTTTGCTGTCGGCATCACGGCCGCCTTCACCCCCGACCTGCACCCTGGACACTACACTACCACGGCCTCATGTGCTCTAGCATCGTCCACGCCTAAGTCTTCTTCCCCCGCCATCGTCATATGACACAGCCGCGTCCAAGTCGCGTCGTGTACAGTAGCGGTGTCCCATGTTGCCATGGCTGCAGGTTGCACGGCAGACTGTTGTGGAAGTCGCGACCCCGCGCGCATGCCTGCCATCATCGAGGTGATGCTCCTTGACCGTTACTGACCTGACCATCTTGTATCTACCTGCCTACTTGCGTGAATGACTACAAAGACCCCTCATCCGGGGTTTACAGCAAAAGCAACTTCGCCATGACATGGGCCGCGTCAGTCAGGAACCTGCCGTCTGCGTCTACGTCTGCATGTGCATCTAGATCTTTCGGTACTTCTTCGAGTTGTTGCATCCATGGTACACCCATCTGGAGATCTAGTGATCAACAGGGCCGTTGTCTTGGGCTTTTTACATCGCCCTCTCTATTAACTATTCGATCTGTGAGGTCGTCGAAGAATGAATCATGGGGCTGGGATATCTGATAGTCTACCTTTGCTGTACCTCGTGCTGTATACACTCATATCAAACTACGCAGCGTAGTCAACATCTACTACCTTCTGGAGCGTGTTACACTAAGCCAGTCCGTGGACGAATGTATTGACCAAAGCTACCAACCAGCTCGCATGCGTTCAGAAGTCGTAGTGTTGCACGAAACGTCTTGGTGGTAGGTTGACCTGGCTGCGAACATCATGCTGTGCCCAATGAACACGTCGGGAGAGAAACCACGTACATACATACTCTACCGAATAAAGTGCCCCAGCTTGGCGCTACATGCCCGGACTGCAGCTTCCTCGAGTCCGTGATACTGAAATAGTCGTCTGAGGAGCAGAGAGAGTAAATAGACATGTCCGCGCCCGGCGTGCATGCCCGAGGCGTCGCGGTCTAAAGATACATTGTGACGTTGGTGTGGCTTCGTCCATGCGCTCGTGGATGCAAGGGTCCGTTTCCTACGGTACGATCACAAGCATCGCCAGGCATGCCACCTTCACTCCACCTCACCACCCGTCCCCCCGTCTCGCGTCCGAGAGCCACCCCCGCCCTGTCTGTCGTCTTTTCGATGCGCAAAATATAGCCTCGTCGTTGTCCTGCACCGCAGCAGGCTCCCTCACCGCCCAACATGTCCACCGCTCGCTATGCGCCCTCGGCCGCCCATCCCATGGCCCAGCAGGCCGCATACCGCGCTCCCGCGCCCATCGCCGTCTCCAATGCTCCCCCGGGCACCTTTGCGCCCGGCACCAAGGTCCAGGTCGGCAACCACCGTGTCACCATCGAGAAGTACCTCTCCGAGGGGGGTTTCGCGCACGTCTACCTCGTCCGCGTGCCCAAGTCCGATAATGGGACCCCCGAGACTGCTGTCTTGAAGAGGGTAGCTTGTGCGGACAAAGATGCACTGGCGAACATGAGGACCGAGGTCGAGACCATGAAGAAGCTCAAAGGCCACAGCAAGATCGTCACCTACATGGACTCGCATGCTTCGCAGCTGAAGACAGGAGGCTATGAAGTCTTCCTGCTCATGGAGTTTTGCTCAGGAGGCGGCTTGATCGACTTCATGAACACCAGGCTCCAGCATAGATTGACCGAGCCTGAGATTCTGCACATCTTCTCAGACGTCGTCGAGGGCGTTGCTACCATGCACTACCTCAAGCCGCCGCTCCTCCAT